CTGTGTGTCACACCTGTGTCCCACCTGTCCCACCTGTGCAGGTGGAGCTGGCCACGGGGCAGTTCCCGTACCAGAACTGCAAGACGGATTTCGAGGTGCTGACCAAGGTGCTGCAGGAGGACCCGCCCCTGCTGCCCCCGGCCATGGGCTTCTCCGGGGACTTCCAGGCCTTCGTCCGAGACTGGTGGGGACACGGGGGGACAGGGGAACACGGGGGGACATGGGGCACACAGTTGACATGGGGACACACAGGAACGTGAGGACATGGGGTGACACCGAGACACCAGGGGATGTGGGGGACACAGGGACATGGGGACACAGGGGACCCAGGGACACGGGGGGACATGGGGACACACAGGGGACACAGGGACATGGGGACATGGGGGGACATGGGGCACACAGGGACATGGGGACACACAGGGGACATGCGGAGGACACAGCCCCAGGGGTCCCCAGGGTGCTTCTGCTCCTCTGGGGAGCTCCAGGCCTTCGTCTGGGACAGCTGGGGGACGGGGGGGACACTGGGGACACTGGGGACAGGGGGGACATGGGGACGTGGCCCGAGGGTCCCAAAGGCGCTCACCCCCCGTCCCCTCCCCAGCCTCACCAAGGACCACAGGAAGAGACCAAAGTACAACAAGTTACTGGTGAGTGGCACTGGCACTGTCACCTGGCACACGTGTCAGTGTCACGCCTGTCATTGGCACTGTCACACCTGTCACCTGTCCCGTTACACGTCTCTTTTCCTGTCCCCCGTCACACCCGTCACACTTGTCACTGTCACACCTGTACTATCACACACGCCGTCTGTCATTGTCACACCTGTCCCTGTGCGTCCCTGGGGCCACCTACCCATCACAGCTGCCACCAGACCCACGGCCACCCCCTCCTGTCCCCTGTGTCCCCAAGGGCCACGTATGTCACCTGCAGGGGCACGTGCACCATGCCACCACCCCTGGGGTCCTCGAGTCCCTGTCACCTCCGCTGCGTGTCTGCAGCTGTGTCCCCGTGTCCCTGTGTCTGTCCCCGTGTCCCCAAGGCCACACCTGTGTCCCGTGTCCCCAAACCCTCACCCCCAATGCTCCGTCCCCATGTCCCCAGGCTTTGTCCTCCACCTCCACTGTGGTCCCCTTGTCCCTGTGGCATGTCCCCATGTCCCTGCTGTCCCCAATGTCCTCGGTGTCCCTGCTGTCCCCATGTGCCCAATGTCCTCTGTGTCCCCACATCCCTGATGTCCCCATGTCCCCCGATGTCCTCTGTGTCCCCAATGTCCCTGCTGTCCCCAATGTCCCTGCTGTCCCCAGTGTCCCCAGCTGTCCCCCATGTCCCCCGATGTTCTCTGTGTCCCCACATCCCCGATGTCCCCATGTCCCCTGATGTCCCTACATCCCTGATGTCCCCGTGTCCCCCGCTGTCCCCAGTGTCCCTGCTGTCCCCCATGTCCCCATTGTCCCCTGTCCCCACAGGAGCACACCTTCATCAAGCGCTACGAGACGCTCGAGGTGGACGTGGCCACCTGGTTCAAGGACGTGATGGCCCGGACAGAGTCCCCGCGCCCGGGGGGTGGCCTGGGCCACCACCTGCCCTTCTTCACCAGGTAGCGCCCGCCCGGCGCCGCCACGCCCGGCAGGGGACAGCGGGGACAGCCGGGACACCTCCGGGGACAGGGACAGCGGGGACAGCCCCGGGACACTGCCTGGTGCCACCGCGCCCGGCAGGGACAGCGGGGACATCTGCTGTGACACCGGGGACAGCCGGGACAGCCCCGGGACAGCGCCCGGCACAGGGACAGCCGGGCCACCTCTGGGGACAGGGACACTGGGGACAGCTGGGACAGCCCTAGGACACCCACTGGGGGAGGTGACACCTGTGCCACCCCCTTCTTGTCACCCCCCTGTGCCACCCAGTGTGACGGTGACACTACCACGGCCACCACAGCCCTGGCCTGGCCTGGAGTGTCCCCAGCGTGTCCCAGTGTGTTCCTGCCATGGTAGCTGTCCCCTCCTGCTGTCCCCACCTTCCTGAGGCCAGGGGACACCCCCGTCCCCTCTGTGTCCCCCTGGCTGTGCCTCAGTTTCCCACAAGGTCCTGTGTGGGGACAGGACAGGGAGGTGGCACCGAGGGCGTGACGCTCTGGGATGTGGCCCAGGGACACGGATGTGGCCGGGGGATGTGACACGGGTGTGACGCCGGGGCCTGGGGATGTGGCACTTGGCCCTGAGGGGACACTGAGAGGACACAGAGGTGACACCAGGACATGGGGACGTGGCACGGAGATGGCACTCGGGGACACGGAGATGGCGCAGTAACGTGGCGTGGGGAACGCGTGGAGAACCAGCACGGGGATGTGACAGCAAGGGACAGCATGAGGACACGGAAGGATGGCACGGGGATGGCACCGGGACGTGACACGGGGACACAGGGCGGAGATGGCACCAGGAAGTGACACAGGACACAGAGATGGCACCGGGATGGCACAGAACGGAGGTGGCACCGGGAAGTGACACGGGGATGGCACCGGGAAGTGACACAGGACAGAGATGGCACCGGGATGTGGCACGGATGGCGCTGGGAAGTGACGCAGGGACACAGAACAGAGGTGGCGCCGGGATGGCACCAGGAAGTGGCACAGGACAGAGATGTCCCCAGGCTGTGACAATGGGGACACGGCGCTGGAGGGCATGGAGTGGTGGCCTGGGGACACGGACACGTCACGGATGTGACATCGCAGGGCTCAGTCCCGGGGATGTGACACCGGGATGTGACACCGGGATGTGACACTGGTGACATGGCCTGGGGATGTGACACCAATGATGTGACACCAAGGATGTGGCACCAAGGATGTGACA